TTGAGTATTAAGTCTCGTATGATACTTTTTGGTTAATGAAAACTATTTGTGAAAACCGGGTAATGAATCCCCGCGGGTCCAGATAAGACTTGGGTTATAAAAATGTTGTTTAACACCCATTAAATTTCGAAAATGATCTCGAAAAATTTGTACTGATTTTTGGAAAGTCCGAAATTTCTGTAAAATCAAAGTGGGGTGTTACAGTTTGGTATCAGAGCCAGTCTGCGTTTCTGTACACTGGTTTATATGTGATTAAGTGATTGTGTGAATTGACCTTGTGTGTTGACCACTCGTCTTCGTCATGCCGCACTGCTTAAGGTATGTTTTAAATAAGTATTCATGTATATTCTTGAGAAATGTATTGCTGATATTTGGGGTTAGGTTTTATCCACCTTTGATTAAATCGAACTCTAGTGGCAGGGAGTTTAGTGGTATCTCTAGAAGCTCTATGTTGTGAGTTTTTGATTGATGTTTTGATTGAGCGTCTATAGCAGTATTCTCGCTACATGTTTTCGTTCAGTGTTCTCTGAGTAGGACCATTTGTGATCTATCTCGCAAGAGAAAGGTTGAGAATCGAGTAAGTCCTTATTGAAAGCGATTACCCGGAGATTTATACCCAGTCAATCTGGACCGGGAGTGGCGTTTAGGTGCCACGTCTAGATCAATGATCGACCCCATAGTTAGGGGGAAAATCTAATACACATCATTGTCACGACTCTCGAGGGTGGCTAGATTTTGGGAGAAGTGATGGTGGTTAAGTCTTGTGCATTAAGTTAAGCGGAAGTCATGAAGGCTGACATAGAAGACGGCGATATCGTCCAAGGAATGGGTGGACTGATCAGACATCGTGTGAACATTCTTTCCCGTGAATGGAAGGCACGCTATTGCGTTAAGGTACGAAAATGTGTGGATTATATGCTGATATTGATGCCTAGTGGATTGGTTTAATATGCTTATGATCATTTAAATATGATTAAGTCTCGATGTGTTTAGTATGCAAATTCTTTGTTTTTCGTACCTTTGTATCATGATCAGTATGCTTCCAAGCCTATGGTTTTAAAGTTAAATTCTTCTTGAGAAATATAGCATGTTTCTTATGTTTTCAGCGAGTTTCGAAATTTTGTAAATCCGATCTAAATTGAGGGAAATATGGTTTTTACAAAAAGATTGTGCAAACAGTTTTCTGAAAACCCGACAACATGTTGTATAAAATGTTGATTTGTTTATGCCTGAATTTGCTCATATGCGAACATGGTCTTCATGAGAAATGTAGCCTTATGCGTTAACTCCTTGTTAGTTTTCGAATAAAGTAAAAAAAAAAAAAAACATGTCTGAAGCATGAAATAATTCAATTTTACCGAGGCTCTGTAAGTTGTATAGTCATGCTCTCGAACTGCAAGCATGTTTCAAATGTTTGATGAATAAACTATGATCAATTGCCTTTATTTGCCATACATGCCTTCAAGTAAATTGCAGCTTTTACTTCTTAGCTTATTGTTGATCTTGGAATCATGTCATTTG